CGCTCCTTCTCTTCCCTTCCCTTCCCTTCCCTTCCCTTCCCTTCCCTTCCCTTCCCTTCCCTTCCCTTCCCTTTTTTTTTGTCTTTCTTTTTGAGCTAGAGCATTTGCCACCCCACATTTTCTCTATGAATAGTTTAGTCTGACTACTTCTAATACCATCTGGAAATATATATATATATATACAAAGTTGCCTAAATAATACTTTATCTCCTACTACCTTATAGAGAGCTATCATTTTAGAAAGTGAACATCCAGAAAAATCAATACTTAGAAAAGTAGAGACCTGCTTATGCCTGCAGATTTACAGCACTTCCAATAATAGCCTTCTGATGTTTGCACTGCAGGAACTTGCCTATCTTTTTCTAACTAATGTCACCATGTTGTATCACGTATTTACGGCACTGTTTTAATTTCAGGTAGCAGAGAAGCAGCATTCACATATGCCATCATTGCTGCTGGAGTAGCACATGCAATCACGGCTGCCTGTACACAGGGCAACCTGAGTGACTGTGGTTGTGACAAAGAAAAACAAGGACAGTACCATAAAGAGGAAGGATGGAAATGGGGAGGCTGCTCTGCTGACATCAGATACGGAATAGGATTCGCCAAAGTGTTTGTGGATGCCCGGGAGATTAAGCAAAATGCAAGGACGCTCATGAACCTGCACAACAATGAGGCCGGGCGGAAGGTAAGTACTTCTGCTCTCCCCCAGACGTGGCTGTCTCTGGCCTAGGATTGGAGATGGGCTTAGATCATGTACAGTGCATGAGAACTGCAGTGTGCTTTAATGCTAACCTCATTTTACAGTAGACAAGTAGGCACCTTTGCAAGTTATAAGAGTTTGTTGGACCATCTGTCTGTCAAATATTTGTCTAAATGTTACTCTTTACAATGGTAAAAAGAAAAAAGCAAACAAACATTTTATCTGGAAAGTCAAACGGTACTTATGATAAAAAGTTTGCCTGCTACTGTGTAGATGAATGGGATTCTCGTCAGGTTCAGACATGAACTTCTCACTCATTTGAAAAGGGATCATTTTCAACCCAACTGTTTAAACCTTGCTCTTTGTGAGAGGACTACCTCTATAATGAGAAAAATACTCCAGCAAAAAGAACACAAACTGACTCACTGTTACACCATTATATGAATTTGGTTTATCATTTTGCACAGCAACATTCCCACCCCCTCCCCATTCTTTGGGACCGGGTAGCTGAAAGCAGCTACTGCAGAACCAGCGCTCAGGAAGACAGGAATTCAGCGGCTTCTGACACGCATGTTTCCTGACGATCCTGGGCACTGACTGCCCCGGGTTTGCTGCCTTTGCCGTTTGCTGCACGCGGCCAGTTTTCTGATTGTCAATGGCAGCTGTGGCAGATGCAAGACCCAACCTGATCTCTGCTCCTCAGATCCTTGCAAGTCAGGCATTCCCCAGCATGCCTCAGAGCAGTCTCAGTGGTGGAGGGGCTCTGATTTACACCAGCTAGGAATAGCCAGGGGATGTCTGTGTGCTCCTCACACAGCTGTGTGCAGGTACAGTCCAGTGCTGCTTTCCATACGGGAGTTACCATTTTGCTGATCGCATCTTACAGAATGAATGTAAATCCTCTTGCTACCTTAGCTCTCTATTTTACCTTTTTCACTGTTTGCGCTCCTGTGCATTAGTACTGATTTTAGCATTATGTTAGTGTGACTTGGAAGCAAATGGGAGAAGGAAGTTAGGAACAGTGGTTAATTTGTGGATACTATTTTTGTTGTGGCAATTACCTGCAGGCTCTGAGACATCTCCACTTATGCTGGAGCCAAGCAGATGGCATTGAAGGAAAGCCACTTCCACCCCAAATAAAGGCCTAACTTTTATTTAATGCTACTGTAGTAGCTTTATAGGTCAGATTATGGTTTTTACTCTGCCTAGTATCCCAAATGCCTGTGTCTGGTTCTCTAGCGCAAACATGGTATTTCAAAACACTAGCAAAATTAACACTGAATTCTGAGAATAACTCGAGGACTAACCATTAATATTTGCTAATCAAATGATCTGAGATTCAGTATTTTTAGTACTTGGCTTCTGGTAGCATGAAGGCACATACTGGAAAGATTGGTAAAACACCAAGGCCCACAGTCTGCTCTCCTATACAAGCACAAATCCACTGAAATAAAAAATAGCAGAGAAGTTTCACCTTTGTGGGAAAGCTACTTCCCTGAAAGGTCTGCTTTTATTTGATAGGTGCTGGCAGTAAAAGATTCCCAAGAAATGACACACCAGCCTATAGAGGACTCCAATCATAGATGGAACTGGCTACTGTCTTAGAAAATTGTTTCAATTACAAAGCTCAAAGATACAGACAGAAAAAGAAGTTGCATTTCTTGGATCTGTTATCACCCAGGTATGGACCTAGGGTAGAGGAGGAGGGATAGTAGTCCTGGAGCTGGCCTGTGGGAAGGCAAAGCATTCAGCCACCTCCCCTTGAGGACATGAGCTCCTTGTGTTTCTCACCTGTATGTGCACAATTTGCTGTCCTAAAATATTATGCCCGGAAGATTCAGCTCTACGCATTGTTATCAGGGAGAATAGTGGTGCATCCTATCTCTGGCAATCTGCCATTTCTCCAGCAGGCTCGGGAACTGTTCTGATCTAAAGATATTTCTACGCTTCTTCCTGCATCCCTTACAGAGCAAAATTACTGATCTTTGTTCGAACAAATCTCTGTTTGAAATCTTCAGGGGAAAGAAAGAGTAACCAACTGAGATGAGGCATATTACTCCACCATCCTGTAGAGAATGAATAAATGATGTTTTTGCTAGAGAGATTCCTTTCAGGCTTTGCTCTTATGCGAAAGATCACAGTATTAAATCCAGCTGGCAGAGCGAGGCCATTATGGGTATTTGGCACGCTAGGTCTCTCACAACCTAACCCTTTCACAACAAAAACTGTCTTGTTTTGAGGTGGTACTCTCTCTTTTGGAGCAATATGGATCTTATCAGCCTCCACACAATCTCTTCTTGGTGGCTTTCCTCTGGGCTACAAATTCTTGTCTAGTTTTACTTGCCCATGGCTAGGTTTTTGATGATATTTATGCACCTAGGAGACAGACTGGCACCTACCGGGCTTCCAAAAATAAACTAGATGTTCAATTCTTATTGATTTGTTATCTTCACCTGTAGGCATCGCTATGCTGTTCAAAAGTCAGTCCCCTCTATTTCTCTGGTCTTGCAATGCCAAACTGCACTGTGTGCTATGCCCCACTCCCCTGGCTGCTCACGAATGACCTGTGAAAATGTCCGTCTTCAGGATGACACCAGCTGTAGGTGATGTGGAGGCACTCTAGTAAATCATATGTATATTATTCTATAGTTGTCTTCTTAAGAATCACTAGTAAACTAATCTGTTCCATCTTGGCGAGCAAGAGATGACAGACTTCATGCTGTCAGACTTTACTGGCAGGCCTGCTGGGCGTACCAGGGAAACTGAGCATAAGTAGGACTGCATGGTAGAAACTAACAGAGGACCACCAGGAAAAGCCTGATCCAGACTTTCTGGAGATCTCATTTCAAGACTTTCTGCCTTCTCATAGTCTTGTTTTACCTAGACAGATGCATCTCTGCTGCCTGCAGTGCCAACAACAGTCTCTCTGAACCTACTGAATACATGACAACTCTGTCAGAGCAATAGTATGAGCATCTGCCAGCTCTTTCTAGAAGCAAATAAAAATTGACTGTGTCAAATGTGGAGGATTTTAGAGGTCATGGGTGGAGAACATCCATGCTGCTATTCCCTTTCCTGAACAGCCTTGCTAGTGCAATCCTTGAAAAATATTCATGTGCACACCCATGATGCAGCACATCCCACCTGAGATCAGCATGTGTGAAATATCTCCGTTTCCAGCTGCTCCCACACTGCAAACTAATGCCAGAGATGGCAACGGCTCTTGCAGAATGAGCACCCATGATGCCTCCACTGCTGGGGGTGAGCAAGTAATAATTTTCCTTACTGCTAAAAGATAGGGCTCTAAGTCTCTGTTTCTCTCTCTTGGCAGCAAACCACCAGGACTCGGTTCTGTAGCACACAGGCACAACTTCAAAGTTCCCAGGCTACTTGGAGAGGAAGGGGCAGAGTTCAAAACAGAGGTCGCATACACCCTACAAAACTGGCCCCAAGCAGCCCGAGGAGCCTCACATCATTTGTCAAATGTATTGGAGATCAGCTATTTCTGACCTCCAGAAACAGAGTTTAGGGTGTCTTTCCTCTTTGAATTAGTATTTCCTGAAATGCTGATTCACTGCAGGAAGAAGCAAGCAGTACAGGGAGAACAGGAGGAGAATTCATAACAGCTGGGTCACAAAAGAGAGATAAAGCTTGAATTAATTTAAAGGCATAATCCTGATTTGCCCTGCAAACTTCCATGTGAGGGGTTATAATTGCAAGACTGAATTGTCTGTTAGCAAATTTGTCTTCTCGAGTACAAACTTAATTAAATTACTGTAAGTAACACAATAACATATGTCTGAGAGATACTTATGCTCCAGGAAATAAAAATGTTATTCTCCAAGTTGTCCTAGTAAAAAATAGCAAAGTAGGTACTGAAAGGCTCTACATATTTTGGCTGTAAACTTTTCATTTTGACAGCATGGCAAGGTACATGACCAGATTGCACACTCCTCTCTTTTTCTCGGTGACATTGAAATTCCACGAATGGCATCTTGCATCAGCGTTACATCATATTAAGTATAATGCAATATTATGAGTCATTGTTATAAATCATGGGCACAAGCTGCATTAGAAGGCTTTTGCAATTCAAGAGCACATCAAGGTGGATTTTTATTCAGCGTTTCTCTTTGGAGGCATACCTAGGTGCACTAACTTTGCAACGTATCTTCATCCTCTGAATCAGTAGCATTTCAGTTTTCCTTTTCAGCTCTAAGTTTCATAGGAGATGTGCAGTACATGCCTAACAAAGCTGTTGCAAATATCAAGCAAAGCTATGAGAAACCAGAAGGTGTTTCTGAAGTGGATCATGCAATGATCATAATAGACTAAAGTGTTTAGTATTTTATTCTTTAGGGAAAACTGTAATAATGTTGAGGTGAAACACCAGCATTTGGAAAACATGGAGTTCAGGAGTTGCCCGAGCTATTCTGTAAGGCCTACAATTATGACACTCGCCCCCTTTACTTGCTAGCATCTCTGACTTCAGAAGGAGATTGCTGCTATGTAACTTCCCTGAACTTCTTCCAGTTCTTGCATAGTATGCACTCACCACACCACTGCAAGAATTTAACAGCCCTCCAGAGGAGACAGCTATTTCTACTTGATTCAAGATACCTTTTACTTTAACTAGCCTATTACCCTGGCTACAAGAAGCAGCACAGAACACAAGCTCTTGCAGATGAACCACTTGAAAGGTTGTAAGCATCTAGCACGTGGTTAGAAAAGAGACAAGACTAATAAAAGACACTTGCCCAACAATTTAACATTCATAATTTTTCTGAATATGGGCATGAAATTCTGGAGATTTAATAGTTCTGCCTGAACTAGGTCTTAAAGCACGTGAAAACATAGCACTGTTCCTGCTTGCACCCCTGGCTCAGTTCAGCTGCCTGCAGTGGAGAGGGAGTGCAGCTTGTGAACTTGCAGCCCCGCTGGGGTGTCCCTGCCTGAGGAAGACCACAACTTTCAAGGGGGATCCCAGC